GTCGGGAGGAGGTAGGGCTGGGGATTTGGGGAAGGGGCGGAGTTGAGGCGGGGCCGTGGGTGGGGTAATTAAAGAAGGGGGGGGGGCAGCCAAAATTGTTTTTGCTTTGGGCGGCAAAAATCCTAGAGCCGGCCCTGCCCCTCCTTGCCAAAGCTCCACACTGTTGAGACCATCTGTGAGAACAGGAAGCGGCGATGTTATTGCTAGCGTTACAGATAGGACATCTGCTCACGTTCGAGGGGAAAATGACGTTCCTATTGCATCCTGGCATAGGAAGGTTCCTTATACTGGAACATAAACAATTCAGAAAGGTCACTGCATGTAACGGAACATGAAGTTTTGGTTCAAGGCACTGACACTACTAACCTTATAGGCAGATCCCAACCTGAGGAGCAACAAGTTAATGCTGCAGTGTTAGAAAGAAAGTAAGATCTTCTGCTTTCAAACTCAAGAGTAACTGAGGGTCAGAAGTCCAAATCAAGCGGAGGGTGGAGGACAGGAGTTTAGCAGCATCCAAGAAGCATGAGAAACAGCAGCAGTGTTGCTTAAACATCTTGGCCAGAGTTTCAAAGATGGCTAGTGATTTTGGGGTGCCTCAGGTATTCTTTGGGTCCCAACCCGAGTCACCTTGATGGGACCTGATTTTCAGGGTGGGTGCTGAGCACGGCCTGAAAGTCAGGCCTCTTAAGTTGGGCACTGAGCTGCTGAGGTGCCCCAAATCACCAGTCAGAAAACCTTGGCCAGAAAACCATAATTGGAACCAACAGACTAAGAGGACTGGCTAAATGGGGGAGGGAGCTATTATGTATATTTGAAGGACTCTTGTTTAAATATTAAAACAAAAAGAAATCAGGTCTGTGTCTGAATGCAAATAAAGTGTGAGGAGAAAGCAGGCCTGGAGTTTCGTCTTTGTCATTTAAAGAACACTTCTCAGTGATTCATTCACGCCCTGCTCCCTCTCCAAGCCTGTGGAAATGCTTCAATTTCTGCACCTCGAAGAGCGTTAACTCTCCAGGAGTGGCAGCAAGCCCCCAAAAGAAAGGCTCTTCCAACACCGACGCATGGAATGTACATACACAGCTTCAGCAAAGGCAATAACTTGTAGGCATTTTCAAACAGGAAGGCGCGGATAATATTGTAGCCCCTGACAGCACATGCTGCAAATTACACATTAGTAAATCGATGCCTTGCTTTAACATTAACCCTTACTTTACCGCTACACGGGCACTCACCCAACAGCACTCTTTTGAATAGGAAAAGAAATCAGAGGGATCCTTTGCAATACTGTTAGGAATCTAAGGATTGATCCAGCACACAGAACTGGATGTAGCAAGCACTTGGTCCTATAGGCAAGATACAGCAGTTGCTTCATACAGCACGGTACTAACTTCTATATGCACTTTTGGAGGTTGAGAGACGCCACTCGGGTAGTTATGCTGGTCTACAATACAGCGTTAGGTTGAAGTAAGGCAGTTTATGTTGCCCTAACTCTGTAAGTGTCTACACTACAATGTTGCTCCCACTGAGGTAAGTTGCCCACTACACCGACCTAATAACTCCAGCTCTGCGAGAGGTGTCGCACTTAGAAGTTAGATGGATGTAGCTAGGGCAACGTAGTGTGAAGTAACAGGGTCAGGAATGGGATAGATAATAAACCAGACAAAATCATAAAGTCCTGGTATGTGCACACTTTGAATACTGTGTGCAGGTCTGGTCACACATCCCAAAAAATACATTAGAATTGGAAACAGAGAGGGGCAACAAAAATGATTAGGGGTATGGAACAGCTTCCTTAAGAGGAGAGATTAAAAAGAGTGGGACTGTTCAGTTTAGGAAAGACACGACTGAAGGGGGATATGACAGAGGTCTATAAATCATGACTTGTGTGGAGAAAGTGAATAAGGAAATGTTATTTACTCCTTCTCATAACACAAGAACTAAGGGTCACCCGATGAAATTAATACACAGCAGGTTTAGAACAAACAAAAGGAAGTACTCCTTCACACAATGCACAATCAGCCGATGGAACTTGTTGCTGGGATGTTGTGAAAGCCAAAAGAATAAATCGGATCTAAAAAGAATTAGCTAAGTTCCTGGAGGATGGGTCCATCAATGGCTATTAGCCAAGATGGCCAGGAACACAACCCCATGCTCTTGGTGTCCCTAAACCTCCAGCTGACAGAAGCTGGGACTGGACAACAGGGGATGGATCACGTGATCAATTGCCCTGTTCTGTTCATTCCCTCTGAAGCACCTGGTACTGGTCACACTCAAAGACAGGGTACTGGGCTAGGTGGACCACTGATCTGACCCACTATGGCCGTTTTTGGGTCAACATTCCATCCAATATCTGGATAACTAGACTCGTTTTGTCCTTCCTAATTTACATTTGTGGTGGGACAAAAAAGTTCAGCTCAAAATGCCAATCCTACAGTCATTTCATCTTTCACTTTATGCAGACAGTCCATCTAGGTTTTACTCAGTACCCATATCCCTTTTGGTAATCCTTATACAGCTGGCCTTGTGACTTAAGACTTCAATTTTATATTCTATTTTTTTTTTTGTATTTAGTAAGCACTGACAACAGACTCAGGTCTGCACAAGACACAAAATACAGTTTTCTGCTCCAGAGAGCTTACAATCTACACACGATAGACTTAGACTAGACAGGACACCCAGAGAAGTGCAAAATTTGGG